TCACCATACATAAGTAAAACAGCAACCAGTTCTTGTCAGATCTAGATTGCAGGTAAATCTGATTAGTAAAAATGTAGCCATTAAACATATCCTAAGAAAGTGCATGCCATTTTGCTGTTATGAAGCCATCTAAACCCTGACTGACTAGGTCTGTAAAGTTTAACAGACATTCAATTACTGTACTGCAACATGTTTGTGATTATTCGACAAAAAGGTGGGCTTCAAATAATCCTTTACTTAAGTTATCAACATTAAGCTTTTTTTCTCAACACAGGTTTGGCAGCACTAATCTTAAATTCTGAGGGCACAGCTTTGGAGCTGAGGTAAAGCCAGTAAATTCATCCTTAGCAAGAAGCATAACTGAAGTGTCACGGACTTGATGCCGACTTGACATTATGTCTCTAGGGGAGTGAAGAACTCTAAAAATCAGTGTATAGACTTTGATAATAAGGTAAGGTAGATACAGGTATATGACTTGTCAAATGTTGTGATGTCATTTTTGTTCCTGAACAGGAACAATGATTTATGTGGTTCTTGCACAGGAAAGAAAGTCCTATACTGTAGCACAGACAGCCAGCACATCGACAGATCTTCTAGTTCTCTTCAAAGCACCAGCATCTGGAAACCTAGGAGGAGTTGTTAAATTGGACCCACTAAGCCAACAACTTACAGTCAATGCTTTTCATTTTAATTATTTTTATTATTCGTGTTCTGTATTGGTCTCTTTTTTGTAGAGGGTCAAGAAGTAGAAGTAGGACAGCAAGATTGCAAGTTCACAGGGCTTCATGGCACCTAATAACTAACAGGTGCGAGCTAATCACTGAGAGGGGTTGAAAGAGAGAGAAAAAGCTTAGTATTAGCAAATATCTTATGTGGCAAAAAATGGGAAGAGGTCTATTTCCCCCATTTTACAGGGTTAAAGAACAGTCCCACCGGTCCATCATGCTACAGTACTGTACAGTACACTGTAATGATATTGGTTACTGTAATAACCAGTTTCTCCTTTGCATGGCTGCTCAGTATGGAGGGACAGCCACATCTAGGTAGCATCTCCCTGTAGGTCTAACTACACCTACCACTTCATCACGCATTGTAAATTTTCCAAAGCGGGAAAACTACCTGTGATAAACATTTCAGATGGAACCTATGGAAAATATGGGCAATACTTACTCTTAGAAGCAAACTACTCATTATGTATTTTTTTCTTTAATATTACAGAATTCTTATTTTTATCACTATGTATTTTTTAGTTAAAAGTAGAAGCTTAGCAGTTACAGCTAGGGTATACCTGTGATAAAGTCTGATGCCAGCAGTGATTACCAAGGACATGATGTTACAAACCCTTAAAAATGAATATAAGGATCAAGGCTACATAAAGGTTAGTCAAGTCAGGATAAACTCAATATTTTCTAGTTTATATAATTAATATTTTCTGAAAACTATAGGGTATTCCCCATGCAGTAGTACACAGTTGGCCAAGCACTGCTAGGACCAAATGGGCTTGATTCAGACTAGGCAAACTAAGTTTTCCATTAATGCCAAATAGTTCTCTGAGCACCTCACGCTATTGCCACTAAGAGACAGTTTGCTTCTCCAATAGATGTTAACTCTTCTGTAAAGTACTGTGGTGCTTTCAGCATCTATCCATCTCCTAACCATTTTATCCAATTCACATGAGTGCCAGAGCCTATCCTGGCAAGCAACAGGCAGAAGGGAGGACACACTCTGGACAGGATGCTAATCCATTGCAGGGCACATGCAAACATACACACACTCACATCAGGGCAAATTTTCTCAGAAGCCATTTTACCTACCATTATGTCTTTGGTCTATGGAAGGAACCTTGAGCACCTGGATGAAAACCCATGTGGATATAAAAACATAAAGACTCCACACAGAAAGTACCCCAAGTCCAGATCTGAACCCAGGGCCCCAGCGCTGCAAGGTAGCAATGATAACCACTGTGCCTTTCAGCATGTTAAGTGAAAAATGTTCTGACATAGCAATGTTGTAAAATAACTACCACTCATTATTTTCCTACCGCAGTGAAGGGGTTTAGCAGCATTCTGAACTGAATATAATTTGAATATTTCAAATTGAGAGTGCATCAGATAGGAAATGAAATGGCAATTCAATTTTTAAAGAAAAAATGAAAATTATAATTCTTGCCACCATGAAAGCCTACAAGGCATTGGTAATTCTTTCTCTTCAGGCAGCAGAATATGTTAAACATTAATGAATAACATTTGAGTTCAAAGGTCAGAAATTTAGTAGCTCAAGATCTTCTAAGGTGGGTTTTGCGAACCAAATATAGAAGATTTCTGATCAACAGCTAAAAAATAATAATTTCAGAACACAACCTTACTATAGTATTCCTATTATCATATCCACATATTAACATTGTATAAATTAATATATAATCATTCCATTTATGGTGGTATAATTTTATTTCAATGTGTCTTTTTAAATATTGATCCCAAAATATAAGTGAAGAGGATCATTTTTCATATGGTTGTGATACTGCAACATGCAAACCAGAAGCTGATATGAATGCAAAATTAACAATTTTCACACCAACTTTTTAATTATATAAATAGGTTTTTCTTATACCAGAAATAGATTGATAATTGTATTGATCATCAATTAAGTAACAAATATACATGTAGATACCCATGAATATTGTGAAATAAGCCCCTCTGAAGAGTTTGATTAAAATATAAAGATTCTGATCCTTTTGCCTTGGTCATATAAACCTCCCTTGAAATTATCAACTGGGATTATAACAGACTATCCTTGCGGTCACTGTACAAGAAAGTTAAATTTTATACTCTACAGAAGTTGTGGCTGTTTACTGTATGTCAGTATGAAGAACTAAATGTTTCAGTTTTACTGATGTTTACCACAACCTGTTTATGTGCAGCAGCATTTTCAGTTGTGAACTCTGTATAAAACAGGTTGCACATTGCAATCTACATATTAACATATCTTTTACCCTCACCTTCAAAAACTCATGAAGCAGAAAAACCTTACATTCCAAGCCAGCAACTAATTCTCAGCTTCTTGAATACCAGTTTGTAATGATTAGTAAACAGCAAATTGCTTTTTTCCCCTTTCCTAAAGTATATACTTTTGTTACCAAGACCATAATACTGAACTTGCATTTCTAGGAAACAGAAAAAAACATGTTGCAGCTTGTAAGTGCTGAGAACAGGTATGAAAGCTTTAGGAAGACACAGGCTATCATTTTTCATTTTTAATATGATAGTGTATGACAATTCGTAGCCTTAATACTGAAAGAAGCAATTGGCATTAATGATACTGATATTAAAATCTAAAAATGTATGTGTAATTTTACAAGTAATTAACAAGTATTTTTAAGTAGTAATAGTACCTTAATGTTTAGAAGTATAAAAGCATCAAACTTTTTAAAACTTTTTCAAAAAATTTTTTTTACCCCTCGGGTTTTTTATTTTACCTTCCTTGGGTCATAATGAAAATGAAAATTGTTGAAAAGTAACTAGATTAAAATTAAGATCTAAACTTTTAGTCAGTTAGTAATTTAATACTGTGGTGACAGGTTTTCCTACCAAGTTATTTTAATTCCTCTCCAGCTTTACTGCATGTTAAAGGTACAGTATGTAAATGCCTTCCAGAAGAAATATATCTGAACAGAGAGCTGTATTCCTACACACAGATTGGCCATAGTACCATCTCATTTACATCCACCAATCAGATTCAGAATTAGCCCCATCCACCAGATATGTACCATGCAAATGAACGGTCATTTCAAAACTTTAGAAACCTGACATGGAGTCACTGGCAGAATCATCATAAAGTAAGGGCTTGACAGTCAGATGTAAAAAAAAACAAAATACTTCCAACAATGATAATTCTAATAATAGGAAAAGGCTGTCACAAAGAAACACCATACATGTGACTGAGCCACGTTCTCTCTCAGCTTAATGAATGTAATCTGTAGCACCAAATATGTTGTAGATTCAGCATACTGTTCAGAGTTGTTTAATCTAAATTTTAAATTAATCAATGCTTAGCATGTCAAAAGAGCAAAAGAAATACTAACCTTCTGCTTTACTTTACTTAATATTGTGTTTAGTAGGATCACTTCACTGTGGATAAATGTATCAATGTAAGTTAATTAGCACGATTCCCCTAACTGATATTTAATTGTTAATAATTTCTCATTTAATCTTCTAATGGATTCCTCCTGTAAAACTTTTATCTCCAGTTTCCTTTACAAAAGTTTCACAATTATTCCAGTCTCTGTGGAAAATGTAATACATTCATTGTGTCATGATAAATTAGCATAACAATTTTGTGCAGAAGATTTTATAAGATTCTGAAAACAAGCTGCAAGTTTATTTCCCTCCCATCATCCCAGCATTTTAGATTTCAGCTTTTAACTTATTCCACATTCATTGTATTTTTTTAAACAGGCACTACATTCTGAGTAATCATACGTGCCATGATCATTCTTATTTCCACAACTGCAAGACGTTTTAGTTATATTTTCCACTTGCTTCAGCATGGTTGTGTCTTCGAAGTGATCACACAAACATTTTCACCAGATGCATGTGCTACGTGATTCACAAAACATAGTGAAGAGTGAAGTGAGGGCCGTTTAAAAAAATAGAAAAACACAAAAAGGGGATTACTGTATGTGCTATCTGGACCATGTAAATAAGCTTAGTACACAACAGAAAGTAATAGTTTTATCCTCCATAATGTTAGCTGCTCACTTTCGCTTTGACTGTTAAACTTAAATAACCGAATTAAAAATAAAATCCATGTTTTCCCATGTTATTAAAAACCAAAGGAGTATGAGTCTGAATGGATTTCACATGCATTTTCAGGGTTAAATTGTGTATGCTCTTCGCACAAAGTAGTCAAGCAGGTACTTGATAATGTAGCTACTTCCTTCTTTCCCTCCCCCTCAGGCAGTTAACAGTGAATGTGTGTCTGTGGCTTTATACAGTACTCACGCAGGTGTGCAGGCAGTCTTGTTGGCTCTTCCTCCATCCTGCTAGCCTGCCGTGATGTTGGAACATGAACTGCAGAGGAAGTGGAGCTTGGCAAAGGGCTCGTTAAAGGACTGAATGAGAGATTTTCCTGCTGTGAAAAGACAAATAGCAAAGCACACCTTAAAACTTGCAGAGTACACACAGTAAACAGGTTAAATCAAACAGTAGCTAAACTATAGCGCTTGTCCATGGAAAATACTTCAGTCTCTTATTCTATTTTTGTTTGCTTGTTTTGCTTGTTTTTTTTAAAGAATATTTCATCCAGTCTCCTCCTTAATAGTACAGTACTAATAAACACTTTCTGCAGTTTATGGCATTTCATATTATGTTATAGTTATGTATAGCAATGACAAATACGAAATCCATTCAGCATAATGTTCTTAAATGCTCTCAAAATCAAAACTACCATGAAAATGGGAAATGTTAAATCATGACATATGGTACTACTATCTTGAAAATTGTGGATTAAAACCTTTCTTTAATAGCACAATATTTCACCTGTACAGATGACAGATACAATTAAAATGGACACTTAAGATTAGTGAATGTTCTGATTTAGAGAGAACCAATTTAAAACATATAATATATGTTTTACTAGTACACTATGTTACTCCATATATTTGGTTGTCCAAGACGTATCTGAGAAGAAAATGTCTTTAACTATATGTATAAAGCCACGAGATACAGAAATCTGACTCTTTTAAAGGGAGAATACAATGCAATGTTTCACACAGTATTACATCAAAACGGATATGCCACCTTTTGTATAAAGAAAGAAATGAAACTATATTTGGCAGTCAGAAGAACTGTGTGACAAATTCCACTCCAAACAACAATACATTTTAGGCACACTTGCCTATCATTTGGTGAACACTGCACGCAAGAAACAATTTTTGGCTGTAAAACTGAAAAACATTCAGATCAATTATTTTACAATGTAGGGATATAAGGAACATTTTTACTTACTGCTTAATGCTACATAATAAATGGTTACAATTAAGATAGTTAAAAAAGAAAGGCTATCTGTATAGGGAAGCCTGCATGTTAAAGTGCCCTTTTGTAAATTTATTAGAGAACAATGTATTGTTAGACAAGTTGAATTTCTGTTTTACTTGAAAAATAATGGCTTCACTGCTCTGAATAAAATATTTACAAAAGGAAGATTCTTAACTGTTTAGCAAACACTTGTACTTGATTTAAATATTCTGCTCTTAGTCATAAAAATAGTTAGTTTTGAAAAATACACGCCTTCAAGTTTCCTAGCTGATCACCAAACCCATTCTGTCAGAGATCACAAAGGCAACAACATAGAAGCTAGAAAAACAAGTAACAGAGTGAAAACAGTTTAGATGTTTTTTATAATGTCTTCAAAACCACAAAGTACAGTCTATTTCATTTTATCTGAATGATATCACAAGGAACACTTCAAAAAATTTCCCCAATTTGAAACATCTTAGAGAGGCCACAAGAAATTCAATTTCATACTCAGTGAATCATGTTGCTATATTTCACATTAATGCAATTTAAAGTCCCGAAAGAAAATATAAATTAATATTAATTTATCCTCCATGTAGTCAATGGTAATGCAAGATATACAGTTAATATGTCCATAACAACAACAAAAGAAGATATACATAATGTTTTTTCCATCCATTCATTTTCTAACTGCTTTATTCGGGTTTGTGGGGAAGCCAGTCTATCAAGGCAAGTAACGGGTGCAAGGCGGGACTCACCCTGGACAGATGTCCATCATAGGGCTCAACTGGACACAGACAAGCACACACTAATATCAGGGCCAATTTTCCCAGAAGCTAATTAACCTGCCAGTATGACTTTTGGACTGTGGGAGGAAACTGGAATACCCGGAGAAAACAGGGAGAACATACAAACTCATTGTTGATAGCACCCCAGGTCTGGAACTGAACCCAGAGCCGCAGCACTGCAAGACTTTCCACTGTGCCACCAAGCAGTTTTTAAATAATAAAACATAAAGGTAAGCCCCAATCCCCGTCATTACACATAAATGTTTTAGTAAAGGAATGGTTAGAATATTTTTTTTACTTAACATATACATTTCTTAAGCAAGTAATATCTATTATGTTTCCAAGGATACTTTGCCAATTTAAACGAACACAAATTATATTCAGAAAAAAGAGACAATTGAATATGGATATAGTCACTTTAGGGTTTTTTCCCATCTTTGTATTGTTGTGCATCTCCATTTCGGTCTTCCAAGTAAAACCCTCTAGAATTGTATTTACACAAGTCATTTCTAGACTTCCATCCAACCATTACCAAACACATGCATATCCCTGGTGAGAGTTGCAACAACCCAGAGCCGATCCTAGACATAAAGGGTGAAAAGTGGAACTACATCCTGGATGGGGCACCACTCTATTTCAGGACACACACAGTGAGAAAATTCAGAGATAATTGTCAGCATACAGTTAAAATGTGGGAGGAAGCCCAAGTACCTGGGGAAAACCCTAATGAATGTGGTGAGTCATGCAAAGACCATACTGAAGGTGCTCTAGTCCAGAATCAAACCAAGGAGCTGTGAACCATCAGTATTAATTACCTCAGCACCATGTTGCCAGATTTCTAGACTTGCTTATTTGAATTCTCTATACCACACTCCAGCAGAAACCCCTTCTAAGCTGTAGTGAGTTCAAAATGTATGCACCAGGCTTTTCATCTGCTCTATAAAGAGTGATCATATTACTCCACTCCTCTACATGGGCCTGCAATCCACTCCCAGGCAGATTTTCAGAAACATTCTTCTACAAATGACTTCAGAATTTAGCCCTATCCTACTTGTGGGAGATGTTGGTTCTATATGTGCCCTCTGACACTCTGAGGCCCTTTGGGTAGGGCTTATTAGTCATCTGAACACAAATCATTTGGTGACCAGTCTATTAGGTTCAACAGTCCAAAGATTTGGAGCTTCCTTCATTATAACTTTATTGAAAAAATAAATAAAACAGGGACTTTCACAATGTATTTCTGGATTGTATCTTCTTACAACTGTTTTTTTCTAAAATCTAATGACTTAATTGCTTACTTCTTTTTGTTTTACTCTTTAACATGAATCTTGCTCTATAAATAAAGATTAAGGATGATGATGGCCTTTTGTTAATTATTATTCATAAAATGATTTAAAGCAAATGCATGTTTCCAAACAACAAGATGGATTATTCACATAGAACAAAAGTACAAGTGCAAGGTGCAAGTATATACATTTTTTCTTTATACCTAAACTTTCTAATAGAGAGCAAATTGGTTGACTTCTCTTATGACCAGGACTTTGATAAAGAAAACTGAATATAATCTTAACCTCAACTCAAAATGTAAAAATGTAACTATGTTCTGAATAACACTATGCAGAAGTAAAATAAAGTAAAATGCTCTGGTAGATTATAGTGTGGCAGTGCATTTGCAAACTTTTGGATAAAGTACTAAACCTAATACAACAAAACCTCTGCAGTTAAGGCAGTACTAGTGTTTTGCACGTAACCTGTTATATACTTTATTACTGTTAGTTACAATAACCATGCATTAGTGGTTTAGGATGTACAATTTAATCCCAAACTAGCAATAACAATCTGCAAATATCTAT